GCAACAAGAGGGCTACTTATAGCAGACAATAGGTCACATGACATGAACAAACCAATGGGGAACAAGACACATGACTAAGACTACCAATCAGAACATGACACATACACAAGGCAGAGATACATGAGGGCAAGGGAAGCATGACACTAACAGGGCGAAACAATTACAAAATAAAAGACATGAAAACATGAACATGAAACAAAACCCAAACACCACATTACAATATTATTATTAATGTAAAACATGATAATAAAACATAAAGATGAAAAAAGGCAACAAGTGAACCAATAAATGGATTTTATGGTTATATTTTATTAGAGTTTTATTATATCATATTATATGACAGCATTATTTTGATACCTAATGGGAAGTTTGCTATGATGTCTAGAAGTTCTGTCTAGTTAGTCAGCTCACTAGAGTTTGAAACAGTGGATAATTGTGCATTTTTCTCTCTGTGCACCTGTGTGAGTGAATGTTCATATGGTTTATGTTCCTGAAATGCTCTTGATCTCTAGAAGGCCGTGGTCATGTGACTGTGACTGACAGCCAGGGACATCTGTTTCTGTCCCACAGGGGTTTTGTATAAAAGAACCGAAGTTTGTGTCACACACACAGTGGAGTGTGTGTTGTGTGCCGAATAATGAGCCGAATCCAGCCAGAGCTCCTCAAGAGACAGGTGGTCCTGCATCTGTGGAATTACCTGCCCTGTTCCAAAGCCAATGAAACAAGGGCAAAGTTTCTCAGGTCTGCCATCTTACTTTGACTGCAGTGTCACTCTGATGTGATTGCATAAGCCTGACGTAATGCACAGAACCATGCAGCTGTGGTCTGGGTTTCTTCTGGATTTGTTTGCAGCACAACATTCTGCCTTCTCCTTTGAGTTACTTTTGAATGTTAAGATGTTATGAAGAACAGTCAATAGAAAAAGCAGGGGAAAAAAGCACAACCAAACATGAGCACTGACTAATCCATACTGACTAGAATTTGTACGTTTTTTTAATAAAAAATAAGTGTTGATTTTAGGACTTGTTTTTGAAAGAAACCTCTTATACAGAAGGTGCCAGCAATACCAGGTTCATTAGTTTGAGTTTGTAGGCAATGCATGAACTTCTAAATGTGTACTGTACACTCAATGCAGTAGTCACTTATATCAAAGTGTCTGCCATATGCATAAATGTAATGGATATGGCTCAGGTTTCTCCATTTTTTTTCATCTATTTTATCATCTGGCAGCTTAAAAAGTAAATCAAGTAATAGCACACCTCTTCTCAACAAACCACATGATTAATGCATAATGCATGTCTGCAGTGCAAGCTAGGTTAAGTATTGAAGTTTAAGACTTTGTTCAAATCCTTGACCCTAAGCATGAGCAATAGTAATGATGTCTTATTAAGTACCATTAATTAACTGAGAGAACTGTAGCCTGTTTATGCTACGATTGGCTCTTTGTTTTCTTTATTTTAGTATGCTGTACAGTTCTGTGCTGTGAATGGACTTGAGTGGTTAATCAAATAAATGGATGGCTGTTCATCTTGGCAGGGACAGCCACCCTTCACTCGAATGTCTAATGCATTTAAATGCCAAAACTCTCTCTCAGACCAGACAGCATGTCCAGTAAATCCAATTTATTTTATATACAGTATAGATTTTCATAACAGTACAGCTTAAGTGTTTCATGATCAACATTCACGGCTTCTGCCAGCACAGTTGCAGAACTAAACTTTAGGAACTGACAGCTCTTCTACAGGACCTCCTGACCTCTACGATTTCAAAATCATTTGACATCCAATCTGGAATGTAAGCCGGCAGTTCTGCATTCCCAAAGTAAAGCTGTCACCTTTCTGCATACAGCGCACAAGCAGTCTGCCTGAATTATTGATGGTTGACTACAACCTAGTTCCCATGATTCATTGTGCAAAAACGTTTTGCTTTCAGGAAGAAATAGACATCAAAAATGGTTTTTACAACACACTATTATGAAATATATAATGCTTTTGCTTTTATTGTTTCCTGTTCTGTGAAATAAATAATTCAAATCTATAAGAATATGAGTCTTTCTTCTATGAGCTGTAGGGTATCAGACCAAATCAGACAATTTAAGATTTGATAAAGAACAGTTGAAACACGAGGAGCCGAATTCCACAGAGAGGCCCAAGACACAGGATGTTCGTAAATCAGATCCTGGCGCCACAAGCCTGAACCAACTAGCAGCTTTGAGTAGCTCACAGCATTTAAGCAAAAGAACACTTATTGACAATTCCAAGGAGATTGTCAATTTTGGGGCAAGTAATCAAGATTAATGGTCAGAGATGCACAGCATGACCATGTAAACCAGTGACGATCACGAGCTCTTTGGATTGACTTCCCCCCCATATTATGTATGTAACCCACACGTTTAACTATCATGTTTTAATCACGTATTGTGTATGTCTTTTTGATAACTATTGAATAGCTTAAGGGTTCATATTCATGTTTAGTATGTGTGTGTGTGTGAAAATTCTTGCTTGAAATGTTTCTTCCAATCCAATCTTTGTCAAATGTATCATATTCTTGTTATAGAAATCATGTCCAAAATTATACTCTGCGAGAGCGGGATTACTCGGACCATGTGCCTGATGAGGTGACACGTTGATTTATGTATGGGGAGGAGAAATATACTGGCCGTCTCAGTGATCAGCCGTAAAACAGTGATTCTGTCCAAATTCCCTTTAAAATCTTAAATGATTCCGTTTGAGCTAAATTGACCTGTTTCCCTTACAGAGCAATGGATGTCTTATATCAAAGTAGATTATGGAATTTATTTATGTTGATCTTTCATCTCAGTCTCATTTGTAATTTAGAAGAAGCACATGATTTAATCCAGTTAAAGGTGAAAAATCTAGAGAACACAAATGGAAAGGATGTTTTTTGGTTTTGTAATTTCACAGAGGCTGGAATATATCCAGATTTTTTCATTTTGCTTGAGGAAATCAAACAAGGTTGCGTTTTTAGTTAAATGGGATTGATACAGCAAATGAGGGCGAGACCCATATATTTCTCCACGTCTTTTCATTGCCCATGCAGAACAGATTAAAGTCTAAATCTGTTTCTTTTGAATGGTATGGAACATTGAGGGGACAGTAGATTGACTCAGTAATTTATTCAGGGAGGACAATAGAGGTATATTGCTCAAATGGTCATCGGAATGGAAAAATGGCCTTTAGATTCTATCATATTCAGCTTTTTCAAAATCGCCCACATCCTAGATCAGATTTTCATTTGTGTGATAAGACTATCATAGATATCATTCATAAAATGCAGAATAATGAGACATTATAATACTGCATGATTAAATGTCAATCTGTGTGATTTGAGTTGAACGAGAATTGTCTTATTTGAGCTCATTTAAGGTCATTTGAGGTCATATTTTTTATTTTTATTATTATTTTAATAAATTATTCATTTATATTATTTTTGACCCTGTTTTAATGGGAAAAATACCCTGGTCAGTATTGAAAAGTACATTTTTAATTTTATGCAAAATGCGATATCCGCCGTGTTATTCTGTCATGTTTTCTCCCTTTCTTTCCAAACCGCGACAAATGCCAGTCTCCCTTCTCTGCAGAAGGCGATACATCCGCTCAACCAATCACAGCGCACCATTCCACGCATTGTAGACAGTAATGGCGGCGCTTTGAATACACCCGGCATCCTAGTTTTCCTCATCTACTTTGTACTTTGTGATCAACAAACAAACAAAAAAATTAGGGCTGCACGATAAATCGCATGTGATTGTCATGCACATCTCATCAGTAAAGCCGGTTCTGTGATCAGTAGTAAATCTCCATCACGTGCTTTCAGATGGAGCGCCATTTAATACACAGAGCCGTAGATCACTGACAAGCTACGCAATATAGCATTCATAATCGCAGATTAATCGCATTCAATTATGAACGCGATATTGCGTAGCTTGTCGGTGTAAGTGTTTTTATTAATGCCATTAATGTTTTTGTTAATACAACGTATAGCACTAGTCAACTAAATGAATGTAACATGGCAAAGATTAATGCACTTTTGGAAGATGAATGTAGGGGAAATGTCATTTTGGAATTTCTGTGGTCTAATGTTATATTGTTGTTCATGTTCTTGTTCATGATGAAATTTTATTTTATTGTTGTAATTAATTTATAGAATTAACAAGATGACCCATTGAATTCATTTTGGGAGCGATGACTGATTGAATGTATTTTTAGTCCAGTGCCTGTATATAAGATTAGTATTGACCAAGTTCA